CGTACACCATCAGTTTGACGCAGGCCGTTTCGTCGGCGACGCCCAGAACAAAATAAAACTTCCCTTTCTTTGTCTTGGTGTCATATTTGAGCAGCTCGGATTTTTTAACAACTTTCCCAACAATGGCTTCCGTCTCAAGAATTCCACTGGATTTTAGATCAAAGATGGATTTCTCCTGCACACAAAGAAAAGAAAAGCCTCTCAATGAACTCTCTCTCTCAATGAACTCTCTCTCTCAATGAACTCCCTCTCTCAATGAACTCAGCTTTGAGACAGTAAATGTCTCAAAGCTGTAAGTGATAAATAAGAAATAAGCATTTACCCATGGAGCTTTTCCATCCTGGGAGTCACGAGTCTTCAGTTTCTAACAGGGCAGGAAGAAATATGTTTACTTTATATCACACAAAGGTTTTACGGACGTGACTCTTTAATGATGAATGTTGTGAGTTGGGTAACTGCGGTGGTCGACAGGTGCCACCACGTCTCAAACCTCTTCCTCTCCAACTCTTATCTTGACAGATTGGCTTCTATCCAGCTGATCTTTAACAGGAGAAACAAACATCACTCAGGGTCTCGTGATCAATCAGACTTTCAGCTTAAAATACGTCTCTTTAAGACACCCAGCCCACCGGCAGCGCTAACAGAACTGAACCTAATGTTTTAAACAACGGACGATGCACTTGATGTGATTGGCCCTGGGAGCTCAATGTGTTTAAAGTGAGGTCAAATCTACCAACACTTCACCTACCTGCTGCAGGACTGGTTCCTTCCTCCGGCTCCTTCTCACGTCTCCTCTTCATCTCTGGAACATTTAAAACATGATTTACTCAGCTGAACATGATTGTTCTACACCTATGTTTATTATGTAGCAGCTCATAGAGTCCTGTTGTGAACCCGGACATGTTGAGACCCCAAAGTCTTATGTTAGAAATGTAGAGTAGGGTCTCCAGCACATAGAAACTGCCGGATGCTAACCTGCATATGTTGGGCAATTTGCACAAGTTGCATTTACTAGCATATGCAGACAATATCTAAAAAAATGGCTTGGCTGATTTGGACAGTTTTTGAAGATACTGAGTCCATTTCTGACATTTTCAGGATCAAATATGTCAGTTTTAACGAGAAAGCGGCCATATCTGTACTCTGTGGACTGATTCTGATACATGTTTGGTTGATTTGGAAGATGTATTGGACTCTGGATCATTTGGATTGGACAGATCGCTTATTCAAAGTAAATGGTTTACAGTAGAGTTAATAATGTTCATCTTGTGCTCGCTAAATCCAATCCAATGGTCACAACATCATGGTAGTAGTTTTTTTAAGAACTTGGCTTTGAAACACATCTTTGAAGTATAATCCCACACTTGAGTAAAGTGTTATTGAGCATGCTTAACTGAACAGAGGCGTGGGATGAATTCTGTTTGTGGATTTCCTCACCATGCTGCTGTTTCTCCGGTTTGCTCCTCACTTTCTGAACGTAGGGTTTCAGCAGACGCTGAACCAAATCATTTCTCTTAGGTATCTGTTCCATCACTCTCTCAATCTCGAGGATAGACTTTTCTTTCCCGTAGAACTCAATGATCTTCCCAGGCATCTTTTCTTTGGACCGACCGTCCTTCCGAACCTGAGGGAAATCCCTCAAACATTCCTTCATTTTTTCGTACTGCAATGGATTCAGATCCTCCAGGATGATGGTCAGATCTCTCTTCCACTCTTCCTCTGAGATTTTCGACATCTGAAACACCAGAGAAAGGAAACGGTTTGTGCTGGTTTTCACACACTCTGTATGTGGCGCAGTGGGTTGTGCGTTGGTGTTCGGATCAGGGGGATCAGGGGAGCACAGGTTCAAACCCCACTGCAGTCAGCATGTCGTTGTGTCCCTGAGACACTTCACCCCAAAGTGCTCCTGTGGGGATTGTCCACAGTATTGAGTATGTAAGTCGCTTTGGATAAAAGCGTCTAACAAGTGACATGTAATGTAAAAAATCCATCAATCCACAATCCAACTCAAAAAACTTTATATGTCGTAGCTGCTACATTGTACTGCAGTGCTTGTATATGCTGCTCATGCTCTTTCTGCATATCATCAGTGGCGACTGGTCATTAGGGGCAGGTGGGGCACAGCCCCACCTAGTGTCAGCAGAAAGTATTACAAATAATGATTACAAAAATGCAAAAAAAAAAATAAAAAAATATATAAAATATATTTTAAGATCATGTTTAATCATCTGATTCGTCTGTACATTGCTGTTTTAGTCTGTGTTCTTCTAATTAGTTTGTCTACAGTCACAGTGTGTGCCTATTGAGCTGTTTAGAGCCATGTGGGACAAAACCTGATTATGCCCCTTCCTCTCGCTGTGAAGTGAACGTTGACTGTAAAAACTACACTGCGCATGCTCAGAGTATTTTGTAATGTAATGTGTGTGGCAAAAAAATAATGACCAGAGGGGCACGGAGCTACCATCCCCACCATACGTCATCTCAAATCATTCAGAGCTGATTGGCTGTAAGTACGTGTGCCGCGAAAAGTGTGCTGTGTGAAGAGGAGACGAGAGAGGTGCAGTGGCGCGTCCTAAAACCAGGAAGTAAGCACAAAAAAGCAATGAGATTTCTCCAGAGGATTTTAGAAAATAGCTCAAAATAAGATCTGTGGGAAACGTACCTGTTAGATAAATGCACGTTTTGATTAGCCGGATAACATCCACATGTCTACCCTACTTTTATAATTTTTTTATCATACATCTATGGATTAGATTTATGATAGACTTTTGAAACTACAAGAAGATAAGGAGGACTTTTACAAAAAAGTAATAGAAATGTTTGTCCAGAAGGATAGGAAAATGGACTTCATCTTCAAGTCAAGGTAAGACCGCCATTTTATTGAAAATGGGATCTTACTAAGAGAGAACAATTCAATATTTAAATGATAAAATTACATTTTTTGGGTATCCTTTTGTTGAACTGTCTGTTTAAAATTAATCGAAGCATCAGACAAAAAAAGCTTTTGAAAATAATATTATATTTTGGTTTAGGTCAAAATATAATATTTGTAAACCTGAAGAGTCAGTGCCAGTGCCTCACCAGCCATGAACCTCACTGCACGTCACTGCAGAAGCTTATATATAGACATCTAAGTTTTTTGTGCCCCACCACTTTTGTACATATAAAAACGCCACTGCATATCATGTATTTATTTTTGCTATGTTTATAAATGTCATGTTCTTAAATGTTGTATGTGAGGGACTACGGATGGAAATGAGCTCAAAGCTAAAATCCAGCATGTTTATGTTTTTAAAGCATTATTTGTCTTAAATGTTCATCAATATGCATTGTCCCTCTTCAAATAAACGATTAAATGAAATTAAATGAAAGTTCACTTCGGGTTTTATTTTCTCAGAATATTGAATTAACAAACAGTCCAAAAAAAAAGATGTGTAAAGTAACTAAGTACATTTACTCAAGTACTGTACTTAAGTACTGTGTACTGTGTACGGATGCCACCTGGTAAGGATGGTAAGGTAGGTAAGGAAGGTAAGGATGGTAAGGATGCCACCTGGTAAAGATGGTAAGGATGCCACCTGGTAAGGATGGTAAGTTAGGTAAGGAAGGTAAGGAAGGTAAGGATAGTAAGGATGGTAAGGATGCCACCTGGTAAGGATGGTAAGGATGCCACCTGGTAAGGATGGTAAGGATGCCACCTAATGCACTGATATCTTAACCTGTTTCACACCTTCCCCCCGGTACCGGGCGGATAAACGCGTCATTTGCAGGAAACAACGTCTAAGGAATCTTAATATTGAATAAAACTATGAATGTGTTATATCCATGTAACGGGAAGAAACTCAGCTAACTGATCTTTTTAATTTTTTTTTTCAAAAAAAACCCACATTGCTAGCACTCAGCCTCTGAATTAGCCTCAAGCGAAAAAAACGTAACATACTAAGGCAACTAAACTCACTCTAACTCCCTTATTACTTATCCTAGATGCACAACCAACCACTCCTTTTTGGTGTCCTGGAGACACTGAATCTAACGGTGCCCTCCTCAACACTCAGTGATAAACATTCGCGACGCTCTAAACGAAAGCGTACATCATCACATGTGGAGCTAAGAAGCTAAACACGTAAATATGGCTTACCTTGGTCAAAAGTGGTCTTCAATGGCATTAAAACGATAAAAAAACGATGCTGCAGTTAATCCATAGGTTCATCCTATGTGTCTGTGCCTTCTTTGAAATTATTTCTGATAATCCATAAGCAATACAACTGCGTTTTAGTTTCCAAACTCCAGAAGGAGACATTCCTCCACTTTGGTTTCGTTTTCCACACGCGAAGCGCCCACATTTTTTCTTTACAACGTGTGTGTGAGTGGGCCTCCCCCTTCGATTCTATTGGCTCTAACGGTCACAAGGGTATGTCAACCAACCAAATCGACCAAGGGAAGCCAGAGATAGGTCAAATCCACCCAAATGACCCCAAAAGTGGGGGTTTTTGGCTAAATCTCTCTAAAAAGGTCAAATTTCACTTGTTTTGCATCAATCTTGATACAGGGTACTTATTATATGTTGTACTTTGGATTCCTAAAGCTTTTAGTCTACTAACCCATCATCCAAGGGTAGTTTTCACTATCTGTAAAAAATAATTTTTGGACGGACACTATAATTTACAGTTTTTTACTATGTCAAATCTGAATTTTCTTTAAAATAAAAAACATTTATATTGATTCTGACACTTCTACATCCAACTCACAGGTTTATCATTACTTTGAGAACAAAGATTATTAATTTAACCCTTTTAGAAGGGAAGATATGGTCATTTGTTCTGGGAATGTCATTTTCGAGCCTGAGACCTGAAAAACAGGCTCAGAGTGGAACAGGTTAAATCTCAAATTGTATTGTATTTACCTATAATTGATGTGCAATGTCTTATCTATGCTGCTGTGACGATAACATGTCCAAAATAGGGATCAATCAAGTTTATCTAATCTATCCTCTTACTCACGGTAGTCAGTCCTTCCAGTCCGGGTTTTCTGTTGATCCAGTCCGGGTTTTCTGTTCTGTTGATCCAGTCCGGGTTTTCTGTTGATCCAGTCCGGGTTTTCTGTTGATCCAGTCCGGGTTTTCTGGGTGATTGTGGAGCTGTAACTTTCGGTTTGTGCAGAAAGAAAAAGAAAAAGAACTGGAGAAATAGTCCGAGGTGGAGGGAGAAAACGTTTTATAAAGATTCAACGACTACACTTTTGAGTTTTTACCAATACATCCATAGTTTTTACCGACCAATAAGAGTGCGTTGCTCCGAGGATCTTCCTGCGGTTGTTCTGCTGCAATGGATGGCAGATATTGAATGTTGCCGCCAAACCTGAAACCAATCACAGTCTAGATGGGCGGGTCTGTGGGTGTTTACCTGAGAGGAAACTGGTGTCACATTACATCCTCTCCTGCGGATGTTCAGGTGTATATCAGTATGTAGTGTCTCTACTTTAAAGAGTCCTCTCCTGCTGATGTTCAGGTGTATATCAGTATGTACTAGTGTCTCTACTTTAAAGAGTCCTCTCCTGCTGATGTTCAGCTGTATATCAGTATGTAGTGTCTCTACTTTAAAGAGTCCTCCTGCTGATGTTCAGGTGTATATCAGTATGTAGTGTCTCTACTTTAAAGAGTCCTATCCTGCTGATGTTCAGGTGTATATCAGTATGTAGTGTCTCTACTTTAAAGAGTCCTCTCCTGCTGATGTTCAGGTGTATATCAGTATGTAGAGTCTCTACTTTAAAGAGTCCTCTCCTGGTGATGTTCAGGTGTATATCAGTATGTAGTGTCTCTACTTTAAAGAGTCCTCTCCTGCTGATGTTCAGGTGTATATCAGTATGTAGTGTCTCTACTTTAAAGAGTCCTCTCCTGCTGATGTTCAGGTGTATATCAGTATGTAGTGTCTCTACTTTAAAGAGTCCTCTCCTGCTGATGTTCAGGTGTATATCAGTATGTAGTGTCTCTACTTTAAAGAGTCCTCTCCTGCTGATGTTCAGGTGTATATCAGTATGTAGTGTCTCTACTTTAAAGAGTCCTCTCCTGCTGATGTTCAGGTGTATATCAGTATGTACTAGTGTCTCTACTTTAAAGAGTCCTCTCCTGCTGATGTTCAGCTGTATATCAGTATGTAGTGTCTCTACTTTAAAGAGTCCTCCTGCTGATGTTCAGGTGTATATCAGTATGTAGTGTCTCTACTTTAAAGAGTCCTCTCCTGCTGATGTTCAGGTGTATATCAGTATGTAGTGTCTCTACTTTAAAGAGTCCTCTCCTGCTGATGTTCAGGTGTATATCAGTATGTACTAGTGTCTCTACTTTAAAGAATCCTCTCCTGCTGATGTTCAGCTGTATATCAGTATGTAGTGTCTCTACTTTAAAGAGTCCTCCTGCTGATGTTCAGGTGTATATCAGTATGTAGTGTCTCTACTTTAAAGAGTCCTCTCCTGGTGATGTTCAGGTGTATATCAGTATGTAGTGTCTCTACTTTAAAGAGTCCTCTCCTGCTGATGTTCAGGTGTATATCAGTATAGATAGATAGATAGATAGATCGTACTTTATTGATCCCAAATTGGGAAATTGTTTTTGTTACAGCAGCATAAAAGGCATTTTACAATAAAACAAAATATACAAGAATAGAAATAAAATAAAATAAAATAAAATATAAAATAAAATATAAAATATACATGTCAAAATACAAAATAGAAAATATACATACAGATATTATATATATATATATATATATATATACAAATATACAAATATATATATATTCAAAATATATGGAATTATGGAGTATTAAATATGAAACAGATTATGTGTGAGTAAAATGTACAAGGTGGTTTTATTTCTAGAGAAACTATGGAGCAGAGAGTTCTCTTCCAGCCAGAGGTGATTTGTTGTACAGTGTTATTGCAGTGGGCAGGAATGTTTTCCAGTATCTGTCCTTGAGACAGGGGAGCTGCAGCAGTCTGTTGGAGAAGGAGCTCCGTTGACTGTCCAGCTGCAGGTGGAGAGGATGGGTGGGGTTATCCATGATGGACAACAGCCTGTTCAGTGTCCTCCTCTCCACCACAGCTTCAAAGGGTTCCAGCTTGATGCCGATGACTGACCCAGCTTTCCTGATCAGTTTATTGATCCTGCAGGTGTCACCGGCTCTGATGCTGCCCCCCCAGCAGACCGCAGCAAAGAAGAGTGCACTAGCCACAACAGACTGATAGAAGATCTCCAGCATCTTACTGCATACGTTGAAGGATCTCAGCTTCCTCAGAAAATAGAGTCTGCTCATCCCCTTCTTGTACACAGCGTCAGTGTTGATCCTCCAGTTCAGCCCATTGTCTAAGTGCACTCCCAGGTACTTGTAGACCTCCACAACTGCCACATCCTCTCCCAGAATGCACAGGGGCAGAGGAGGAGATGTCCTCTTCCTCCTGAAATCAATGACCATCTCTCTGGTCTTGGCCACATTCAAAAGCAGATGATTTCTTCCAGTCCACTCAACAAAATCACCCACCAGCGCTCTGTACTCCTCCTCCCGTCCATCCCTTATACACCCTACCACTGCAGAGTCATCCGAAAACTTCTGCAGGTGGCATGACTCTGAGTTGTATAGAAAGTCAGAGGTGTATAAGGTGAACAGGAAAGGAGACAGCACAGTCCCCTGTGGGGCTCCAATACTACCAACCACCACATCAGACAGCACACTGCCCAGCCGGACGTACTGTGGTCTGTCCGTGAGGTAGTTGGTAATCCAGGAGATGGTGGACGAGTTTACCCTCATAGCCTGCAGCTTGTCACTCAGTAGCCGAGGCTGGATCGTGTTGAATGCACTGGAGAAATCAAAAAAGGTGATTCTCACAGTGCAACCCGATCCATTCAGGTATGAGTGAGCACGCTGCAGCAGGTAAATAATGGCATCGTCCACCCCCAGGTGAGGCTGGTAGGCAAATTGCAGAGGGTCAAGGAATGATCTCACCTGCGGTCTGAGATGGGCCAAGACCAGTCTCTCAAGCACCTTCATCACATGAGATGTGAGTGCTACAGGGCGATAGTCATTGAGCCCAGAAGGAGTTGTCTTTTTAGGGACCGGAACAACGCATGATGTCTTCCACAGCACCGGGATGGTCTCCAAGTGCAGGCTCAGGTTGAATATATACTGGAGAACAGGAGCCAGCTGGCGTGCACAGGTCCTCAGGACCCTGGGGCTGATACCATCAGGGCCAGCAGCCTTGCCTTGGTGGAGTTTTTCCATCTGACTCTGGACCTGTCCTGTGCTCACAGTGAAGCGGGGGGGGGGGGGCTTGATGGAAGGGGGGCTAGAGGGGGGGGGGGTCTGAGGCAAGATGAGCAGAGGGGGGGGGGGGGGTCAGCGGCAATGTGAGCAGAGGGGGGGTGCAGAAGCCAGGCTGGGTGGTGGAGGAGAGGTGTGAAGTGTAGGTGGTGAGCAGAGTATGTAGAGTCTCTACTTTAAAGAGTCCTCTCCTGGTGATGTTCAGGTGTATATCAGTATGTAGTGTCTCTACTTTAAAGAGTCCTCTCCTGCTGATGTTCAGGTGTATATCAGTATGTAGTGTCTCTACTTTAAAGAGTCCTCTCCTGCTGATGTTCAGGTGTATATCAGTATGTAGTGTCTCTACTTTAAAGAGTCCTCTCCTGCTGATGTTCAGGTGTATATCAGTATGTAGTGTCTCTACTTTAAAGAGTCCTCTCCTGCTGATGTTCAGGTGTATATCAGTATGTAGTGTCTCTACTTTAAAGAGTCCTCTCCTGCTGATGTTCAGGTGTATATCAGTATCTAGTGTCTCTACTTTAAAGAGTCCTCTGCTGCTGATGTTCAGGTGTATATCAGTATGTAGTGTCTCTACTTTAAAGAGTCCTCTCCTGCTGATGTTCAGGTGTATATCAGTATCTAGTGTCTCTACTTTAAAGAGTCCTCTGCTGCTGATGTTCAGGTGTATATCAGTATCTAGTGTCTCTACTTTAAAGAGTCCTCTCCTGCTGATGTTCAGCTGTATATCAGTATGTAGTGTCTCTACTTTAAAGAGTCCTCTCCTGCTGATGTTCAGGTGTATATCAGTATGTACTAGTGTCTCTATTTTAAAGAGTCCTCTCCTGCTGATGTTCAGGTGTATATCAGTATGTAGAGTCTCTACTTTAAAGAGTCCTCTCCTGGTGATGTTCAGGTGTATATCAGTATGTAGTGTCTCTACTTTAAAGAGTCCTCTCCTGCTGATGTTCAGGTGTATATCAGTGTGTAGTGTCTCTACTTTAAAGAGTCCTCTCCTGCTGATGTTCAGGTGTATATCAGTATGTAGTGTCTCTACTTTAAAGAGTCCTCCTGCTGATGTTCAGGTGTATATCAGTATGTAGTGTCTCTACTTTAAAGAGTCCTCTCCTGCTGATGTTCAGGTGTATATCAGTATGTAGTGTCTCTACTTTAAAGAGTCCTCTCCTGCTGATGTTCAGGTGTATATCAGTATGTAGTGTCTCTACTTTAAAGAGTCCTCTCCTGCTGATGTTCAGGTGTATATCAGTATGTAGTGTCTCTACTTTAAAGAGTCCTCTCCTGCTGATGTTCAGGTGTATATCAGTATGTAGTGTCTCTACTTTAAAGAGTCCTCTGCTGCTGATGTTCAGGTGTATATCAGTATGTAGTGTCTCTACTTTAAAGAGTCCTCTCCTGCTGATGTTCAGCTGTATATCAGTATGTAGTGTCTCTACTTTAAAGAGTCCTCTCCTGGTGATGTTCAGGTGTATATCAGTATGTAGTGTCTCTACTTTAAAGAGTCCTCTCCTGCTGATGTTCAGGTGTATATCAGTATATAGTGTCTCTACTTTAAAGAGTCCTCTCCTGCTGATGTTCAGGTGTATATCAGTATGTAGTGTCTCTACTTTAAAGAGTCCTCTCCTGCTGATGTTCAGGTGTATATCAGTATGTAGTGTCTCTACTTTAAAGAGTCCTCTCCTGCTGATGTTCAGGTGTATATCAGTATGTAGTGTCTCTACTTTAAAGAGTCCTCTCCCGCTGGTGTTCAGGTGTATATCAGTATGTAGTGTCTCTACTTTAAAGAGTCCTCTCCTGCTGATGTTCAGGTGTATATCAGTATGTAGTGTCTCTACTTTAAAGAGTCCTCTCCCACTGATGTTCAGGTGTATATCAGTATGTAGTGTCTCTACTTTAAAGAGTCCTCTCCCACTGATGTTCAGGTGTATATCAGTATGTAGTGTCTCTACTTTAAAGAGTCCTCTCCTGCTGATGTTCAGGTGTATATCAGTATGTAGTGTCTCTACTTTAA